CATTAGAATTTGCACAATGATTTATTAGATATTTTGCTAACAGACAAACAAGCGTACACAGAAGCGCATTATTGTTCGCCTTTTGACGGTGGGTGACATCTCTGTCAACCTGAGCAGCGACCCCTGAAGAACGCTGTCCACAGAAGAGCAACACAAACCCCTCCGTGTCCCCAGACGAGGGTTCTGTCTCACCTGAGCTGGCCCAGGTTGTAGTGCCTCGTGGCGCCGTCCGTGGAGCGCGTGACGCACACGGAGAAGCACGGCTGGAGCTGCCGGAGCTCCAGCAGGACGACGGCCAGGTAGTGAATGAAGAGCAGCGCGTCCACCAGGGACACGGCGTACTGGACCACGCCCTGGTAGTTTTGGTCCTGTGTACACAAAGAAGGACTCGTTAGAAATCCAATGAAAAAAAAAAGGGTTAAAGCAAAACAAATGAGTTTTTATTTTGTAGCTGAAGACGTTTCGCTTCTCCTCCAAGGAGCTTTCTCCATTCAACTGAGAGTGTGGCGTTTGAGTTATGAGTTCAGGTGTTCTGTATGCTAGATACACATGCATATTGCTCTATCACTCCTCACAATAGAGGTTCGTTAGAGTCTTTGTTAGTCTGAATCACAGATGGGCCACTCTGGACACATGAATGAAGTTCTTGATTGGAGTCAAAATGACGGTATCAGGACATAAGCTGCATTAGGTTTTTGAGTGTTGAAATCTGAGGCCTCCTCCTCTGTTTAAAGATAGTTTCTCTCTATTTACATTGATAGCTTCCTTCATCCCCTTCTCAAACCATCTGTTTTCTCAATCCAAAATGTGAACATTTTGGACTGAGAAAAGAGTGTCCCTTATCTTTGAGGTGTAGGTAAACAACTGAGTCTTCTCCTGAAGAGCTGGCTCTCTTGTGTTGAGCCATGTGTCTGTGAAGAAGCCATTTGGTTTCTCCAATATAGAGATCTGGACATTCCTCGATGCAGTGGACCGCATACACCACACCACTCTGTTTGTGTGCTTTGTCCTTAGGGTGGACCAGTGTCTGTCCGAGTCCTGTTGAGTTTGAAATGACTCATTAGAAACCAGCCGAGGTTTGTCTACAGTCTACGTCGAAGCAGTGACTGGGTTGCAACATTTTTCCTCCTCCTTTCGGATGCTCCCTTCATCAGGGGGCCACAGCAAACAAACTCAAAGACTTGGCGATTGTTTTTACGCCGGATTCCCTTCCTGATGCAATCACAGACCTCTGAGCTACCACAGCTCTCTGTGTGGAGCAGGGAGCTGCCATCTAGGGTGTCCGAGGGAGAAGAGGGTGGGGGTTAAGTGCCTCGTTTAAGGGCCCAGAATTGGGCAAATGAGGTTGGAGACAGGAGTGGGTGCTTCATTTTTCCCCACCCACATTATGACATTGTCGAACCAGTGACCTTATGATCACAGGTTCGCCTTCTCTAACCTCTGCTCCACCACTCCCAACTCGCTGGGTTGCGAATGCTGGTGACAAATTGTCTTGAAAAGTTCCTAAAGGTTCCTGAGTTTTTTGCCTAAATTGTGGCGCAGGAATTTTGTTTGAAGAACTTCGTCTATTATCCCAACAACCTCTGACCATGGTTGTAATCTATCACATGACCAAAAAACATGTAGGTAATTGGGATTTATATGAACACATTATCTCCATCATTGTTGTTGTTTTGTTTTCATTAAACCATCTCAGTCTGGCCTCTCTAACTTGATCTCCCAGTTGTTCAACCTGTGCTGTACCTCTGATGATCTCATTCCTAATCTTATCCAACCTTGTCACTTCTAAGAAGAACCTCAACATCTTCATTTCTGACACTTCCAGTTCTGTCTCCTGTCTTTTTGTCCATGTCTCCGTCTCCAGACCATACAACATAGCTGGTCTCACAGTTGTCCTATAAACTTTTCCTTTGACCTTTGCTGACACCTTTTCGTCCCAAATCACTCCTGCAACTTTTCTCCATCCACTCCATCCTGCCTGGACTCTCTTTTTCACCTCTTTACCACACTCCCCATTTTCTTGGACAGTGGACCCCAAGTACTTGAAGTCCTGCACCTTTGTGAGCTCTGTTCCTTGTAGCCTCACTGTTCCACCGGCCTCCCTCTCATTCACACACGTACTCTGTCTTACTACGGCTGAATTTCATTCCTCTTCTTTCAAGTGCATACCTCCACCTCTCCAAGTTCTCTTCCACCTGTTCCCTGTTCTCACCACAGATCACAATGTCATCTGCAAACATCATAGTTCACGGGAATTCCTGCCTGACCTCATCTGTTAGTTGGTCCATCACCAGAGCAAACAAGAAGGGGCTCTGAGCTGATAACTGATGCAATCCTACCTTGAAGTCCTGAACCTTTAAGATCTAAAAAAAAAAACACAACAAATTGCTCCAATTATGGAGTTTCACATTGTTGTTGGTGATGTGGCCCTGTGGTGTGGGGAACTTCCTCTGAAGGTACAAAAGCAAACCCATAGGTCCTCATAACTGCTTCTAAGTGAGACACAAGCCAGTATCTGTTGGAGTTTGCGGAGTTCTCAGTTTACTTGTGGAATGGCAGCAGAAGTTTAAACTTACTTGACTGTCTGACATAATAACAGCAGCTTTGATAACCCAGAATACTGCCAAACCCCACATGTCTTAATGTTTATAAACATTTTTCAAAGCAAAAAAAAAAAATTACTTGTGCAGGGATAATTTAGGTTAAACACGTGTAAGGCTAAATGTAGAGCATTTAAATATTAAAGCAGATTTCAAAGGAGCCTTTTTAGATTTTCTGTTTGTGTATTTTCCTCAAGCATTCTGAAAGTAGAACCAACAGGGATTTAGATTAGAACTGACACACCAAACACACACCCCTGTGGAATGCAGAAACCTGTGTTTTGGTTGTCTTTTTATTTATTTCAACTCCTGAAGGCTTTAAAATGAATGTGTCTGCAGTATCTCTCCGACTCATGCTTCTAAAAATCCTACTTCAAATTCCATGTGTATTTTTAGTTCCACTCTACGCTCAGAGTAAAAGAAACAACAGCTTTTTGATTTATTCTTACACACCTGAGCGTCAAGAATCCGGACACTGTAAAAGAGCCAGTAGGAGACGACAAGGAGGAACACCAACACGGCCAGGAGAACCTGGAAAACAAAGACGCGCGGGAGTCCGGCCCGTGGCGGCCTGAAGAAGAGCGCCCAGACGGCCAGCAGCAGGATGAGCAGCTTGAAGGCCACGGAGATGAAGAGGCCCTCGCAGGCCGTCCCGCAGCTCTGCAGCTTCTCCGGCCACAGGATGCGTGGCAGTGTGAGGAAGGCCAGCGGTGTGAGGAACACCAGCAGGCCCAGGATCACAGCGATGGTCCGGGCGAAGTATCGGCGGCAGTCGAGCCCCACGCTGTCCTCAAGGTCCTTGGTGATGCGAACAATATCCTCCTGGGAGAGGCTGTGCTCCGATGTGCCAGTAATGGCCGTCGTGGTCTCGCCCCAGTTGTCATCCTGAAAATATGAGAAAGAAACCAGAATATACTCAAAGTCGCACCATTCACCTTTTCCAGAAGTCTTTGAAAAGAACATTCTGGTAGTTTAGGCTTGGTCCTCACCGGATCATTAGTACCACCGTTAGACCTGTCGCAATAAACAATAAATCAATTAATCGCATGATAAATGAAAATTATCTACCTCATTTTCATTTATTAGGTTTATCGTTTCTTTGCGTCGGTCTCTTTCTACTGGACGCTGGATGACAAAAAGCTCAACTCCGGTGCTCTTCACTGACCCCTCCCTTTCGCTTTTCTCTTTAAAATCTGTTTAAATCATCCAAAATCCTGTTTTTGGATCGTTAAAAGCAGCTAAGCTGAGAAGCTAAGCTACGAGCTAAGCTAACAGGCTGACCTCGGGAAAAAACCTGCCTTGTCAAAGCTCCAAAATTCATGGTTGAAACCCGTGCCTTCATCTAATACGTTGTTTTTCTCTGCAAAAAGAAGCTGAGAACTTGCTTACTAATTTTTTATTAAAAGCTCTGTGTGACAAATGCTATGCTAAAGAGCTCAAACCACACCGAGCGTCCGCCATTTTGAGAACCGAAAAACAGTAACGCGAGACAGAGCCCATGTCACATCAAGAAGCCTCCCTCCCGTTTTTCTTAAAGAGACACACTGCTCACTCACTATCCATCCTTCGGTTCAAACAGTCTTATACTGCCATTGAATGGTCAAAAAAGGTACTACACACAAAAATTAAGCAACATTTCTTCTTATATTTGACAATATTAATTATTGTCAAATTTCAAACAATATTATCGTTTATCGCAATAATTTCTGAGACAATTAATCGCCCAGCAAAATTTGTTATTGTGACAGGCCTATGTACCCGTAATTTCCAATATCCTTCAGTGTTCCACGACGTGGGACAACAAAATCAAAACTACCGGTAGTCAAACAGTGGGTGATAAAATCTCTTTCAGTAAGAACCAACAGTAAGCTAGTTACTGTCCATTTCTCTGTGAGTGTGTTCATTTGTCTGTCTGTTAGCAAAACTTCTGATAACAACTGGACAGGGTTTGAGCAAACTCTCCAAGTCCTCACTGAATGTACATCTACAACTGATTAACTTTTGAAGTCAACCCAACTCCAGATGGCCGCCCCATACAACCAATTTTAAGAAACACAAAATGACTATGACTCTGAATTTAGAGGTCGAGTTAAAATTTGGCTGGGTAATAGTTGAGCTTAACAAACTCAGACACGTACATTGTGCGTCATCTTTGATAAAAATCGTTGCAAACAGTTGTTAGAGCCAACCCCGTGTCTTTAAGAAACAGATAATATGGATTTTAATGAAACTGTTAGAAAGTAATCATTTATAAAAAATCATTTCATTTTTAGACAAAACCAACTTAAGAAGAATACCACAGCTGATCAACACTAGCTAAAGCAAATATGGCTATAACTCAGTCCAATTTACACAATGAAGATAAAGTTAGGCATGGTAGTTGCAACGAGTTATCCTCAACCCATACTCCGTGTGCTAACATAACATCCATTGCCAGATGTCTCAGTATCTACCACATAATGTAATTTCCAAGGACTGACTAAAATGCCTTTAACTCTGAACATTGAGATGATTTTAGTTCTTAACTCTGACAGTTTTTACAAGTTCACACAGATTATTTTGGGCTTCAAATAATTTACTAACAATCAGGAAAAGCTTTAAAAGTGGCGCAGCATATTCCATGGGGAACACCAGTAGAGTATCACTTCAGGTTCTTGACATGTTGAGCGTTCAGTCGTTGGTGTAGTTTCCACAGACGGTCTCTTTGATGGGGTCCGGCCATGAAATCCACCCTTGATCTGTTTGGCCTTTGACATGAGGTTGTAAATATCCGTGTCACCGTGCAGTTCTTTGGACAGAGCCGAACATCTCCGCTGACCTATCTCAAGAAAACGCAACGAGTCTGCGGAATGCGCGACTTGGGTTCAAAGTGTCAGAGTGCACATGCCGTTGCATTCCTGTGGGCAACGGGACATCAGGCATTCTAAATAGGGCAAAATGTCGCCATCTCATTTATTCAGGGACGCAAAGACACATAAAAGGAACATTTAAGGTGAGAAAAAAAACTTTAAATAATTAAAAGCTTAACAGTCTTTGAAGGAATGTGCAATGTGTCAGCGCTCAGGTTATGTGCTCTGAATGACTTCCAGCTACTACCACGCCAGGTTTTAGCTCAACATTTGTAAAATTGATGGAATCATTAGCCATTTTGGTGTTTTTTAATTTGGCTTAGATGTGGTGGCCATCTTGATTGGGCTGACTTCAAAAGTTAGTCAGTTTTTTTATGTATATACAATCTTTATGTACAGAAAATGTCATTAAAATATGTCAATGTGTTCAAAAGATATTTCGAGACAAACAGGCCGACCCCAACAGGTTTTGCCAATGATCTGAACAAAGACCTTGCACTGTCAGTAAGCACTTAAGGTATGTGTTGAGGATGATTCTCAGCTACTACCAAACCAGATTTTAGAACTATGTGTTTAAAAAAGTACCGCATAAGGCATTATACGTCCCTCAACCAACTATTATACAGCAATCTATAGCAATGGCCCGAACCAGCAAAGACCTCGTAAAACACTTGCCCTTGATTTGTGGCTTTGACCTTGGAAGTGTACCCAACACTCTGTCTAGTGATGATGCACATGTATGAAATTTCGTTAAATTATCAGAAGTTATGGGCGGGGCAAGAGAAAATTTATGCAAGTACGAAGACTTTACCATAATACGTCCCGCCTTTGACAGGATGCTACGTTTGATAAGGTTACTTAGCTGTAGTGGCCAGCTCGAATTAGAATGACTAAATGATGTATATCCAATGGTATTTTGCTAAGACACACACACACTTAAGCACACACAGACACTGGCACAAATGTTATTGAGCGCCTTTCTACAGACGGTGAATGGTTTAAATTTTTTGGGCATAGTTTAACATACCTAAAAAACAAAACAAGCAGTAGAATTCATTAGTTAACATCCAATTTGCTGACAATTTGTGCTTCAGCCCAGATAAAGGAAGTGGAGGCCATAGAGCAGAACAAAGAAAGCCTCTTTGTTTATAATTAGAGAAGAGGCCTGAAGAGCTCTCACCCTCCAGAGAGACCTCTGCAACAGGCTCTCTATTCACATGAAGCAATAATCCCCCACAGAGAAGCAACACCTCATTATTTTCTTCAAGTATTAATTTTTTTTTTTCATTTAGCCTTTATTTATCCAGGTTAGTCTCATTGAGCCACGAGAACTCATTTTCAAGAGAGACCTGTTTAGGGAGCACATGGTGGGGGTTAAGGGCCTTGCTCATGGGCCCAGGGTGGGGCGAATGAGGGTGGGGGCAAGTGTGGATGTTTCACCTACCCCACCCACAATTTTGATGTTGTCGGGGCCGGGGCGCGAACCGGCGATCTTCGGATCACAAGCCCACCTCTCTAACCTCTGCGCCACCACTCCCCGGTGGTATTACTCTCCCTTAATAGAGTTAAACGCTCCACAAAAGGCAGGACTGAATGCTTTTGTTTGCGTGGAGTCAAAAATAATTAAGGGCTGACAACAATTATCAGGGATGAGGCAAAACAATATTTAATATACTGACACCTGGGGGTGTCGGGGGGGGGGGGGGGGGATGCTACCACAATATTATTTCTGCCAATTTTCTCAATAATAACAACATGACAATATATTAATTAATGTGCAGCAAAACTACTGGCATAGCCCTAACCTCACTGCCCTACACAAGGGGAGGTCAGTGAGCAAGGCCAGGCTTATTCTGGCAGATCCTGATCACCCACTCCATGGTGAGTTCAGGTTGCTTTCATTTGGACACAGGTATCTGCTGCCCAGATGTAGGACGAACAGACCGAAAAACTCATTCATCCCTGTAGAGATCAGGCTTCTGAATGAACAGCGATGATTTCTATTATTTTAATGTCTCAATGTCTTGTCTAGTATGGATGTTTATTGTGCCTACTGACTGTGAAACAAATTGCCTCTTGGGGAAAATAAAGATTCTTGAACTTAATAATAAAAATAAATAGTTGGGCCTTATTTTGTACCTGCTCACTTTGGTGGATAAAATACGTAACACACTGTTCTGGACAGATTGTGTTCCAACAACCAAATGTGGATAAAAGGGGTCCAGACTACCACCAAAGATGGTCTGGGTGAAGATATTTTTAATGCACATAAAAGCCATCCACTCCTGGATAAGTCAAGACAGATGCTAGTGCTAAGTCTGAATGGGAACTTGGGAGCCCGTGTTAACATAGCCACCACAGTATTTTCACAACTGTTGGCGTATTGACTTCTTGAAGGAATACATCATGTTGTAGTATAATTTAACCAGTTTTCCATGTGACTTTAAATTGATGGCCATGGGGAAGGCATTTGGGTGGGAAATAGGTTTCAGCCTAAGTAATGACTTTTATGTGATGTGGAGCACAGCGTTTCTATTCTGCCTAACAGCTGCTGACAGATCCTGAGGTATTAATCCCGTTTAGCTGGTGGAGATGAGCGGGTTGTGTTCGTGTAGATGAGAAAGGAAATCAATGGGCATTAGGTATGAGGAAGAATACTTTTTTGACCATAGCGAACCTCGACAACAGCCAGAGGGAGAGGTGAATCACTGCATCTCATAGTAGAGATCCAATCATTGCTCACTGAGCTCTGAATAACACATTGCTTCAAGACATTTAACAATTGGAACTGACTTTTTTTGTTATATTTTTGGCATGACACAAAATAGATTATGAATAAATCAGAAAAATACACATTTAGATGCTGTAAAAAGAAAAACGTATTCCCTAAAAATACCTAACATTAAGAAAATCTAGCCATTCTTACAGAAATTTGGGACTATTTCATATATGGATCTCTACCTGGGCTTTCCCTCTGACTGCACAACTAAAAATAGACTTTAGTCACTCGCATGTTCCTCACGGGATTAACCAATC